CTACGATATTATATCTTTCGACAAGAAAACGTACCTCCTCCGTTCTTTATCGTCATTTAGTTTGCTATTTTTCTTAAAAAGTTTACATTCATTTTTTCTATTCCCCGAAAACAAAGTTTACCCCCTCAAATAATTTTTTCAATAATATACGCTCCTCTAAAATACTTTCCCCCCCTCCTACGACGAATTAAACGAGCGGTCCTTAAGGATTGTATCTTACGACACAAATGCAAAAATACATTTTTTTATCTTGTATTGTATTCCCAGGAGTCAGTGCGGCGCCAGCGTCTCTTCACGCCTGGGCCTCTGTCTTGACTGGAATACTGGTCGGTGTGACGTCATCTCTCGTTTTGACGTGTGCTCGACGATACTTTCCTTCCTGGACAAACGGAAGTCAAGTCGATATAATTTTTTCTAATGGTATCCCAGGATCCCTTGGAGCATTAGCTGGTGAGTGTATAGGTTGCGTTCCACATAGATGTCGTCATTTCCGCTCTGTGACAATTTCTGCTCAAGCGTAAGTTTTTAACAATGAGAGTTACGAGAATTTATGTGCACGAAGGGCTGGTTGATTGTCAGTCACCACTTAATAAAACTGGCAATGATCAATGTAATAATTCAGATGACATGATCACGTGACGTTGAGATCATGTGTAGCCAAGTTTTGACCTTTGTTAAACTTAAGCACACACGTGAATATCCTTTATTTTTCTATTATTAAATTAGTTGCTTGTATTTTGGGTATTTTTTCATGTCAGCTGGCCTTTTCGCCAACCCTATCCTAGACGCCCGCCATCACCGAGGAGCTTTCTACTCAAACGGAAAACAACTTGGTGTCCAGCTTCTTGCGATAGTCATTGTAGCATTATGGACAGCGGTCTGCACCTATCTTATCACGTGGTTCATTCATTTAACGGTAATATGTCATTTAGTAGTATGTAATAGTAGGTGAACACTAGCCCTATTCGAACAACCCCGTATGGAACACTGCCCCTCTTTTATGACAATGTTGTTTATTTATTTCAGGTAGGATTTAACATAACACATTCTGCCGCTGTGGACGTCGCCCTTCCTGGTCAATCATCGTCCAGTAAGCTTCATAGTCAGTTTCTCCAACGAGAGAAGCTCTTCTCTGCAGCCATTACTGGACAAGTGAGAGATTTAGAAGATCTTGCAGCCAAACATATGAACTTCGGGATCAAGGATYTTGACAAGCGAACAGTTCTGTAAGTAAATGGAATTCAAATTATATATTTCGCTATAATGAGCCTAGTATTAATCGTGTGTTCGTAAAGCAGTGCTCACTCTAATGAGTTGCTTGCACTAAATCCCTACTTGTCTTACTAGGAACTCAAAACAATGAAAAATCCTAACACTTCAAAAAAGATTTTGATTCCCAAAGAGAAGTGAATATTTTGGTTAATTTGTCCACTTGCAAATTGGGAGTTTGTAACACATCTCAAAAGTACTAAAACGTTTGGCTGTTGGTGGGTGGGCAGACAAGCCGTCCCACAACAATTTTTAAAAATTTATTGCAATAATAATTTGCAACGTTTCTGCATATAATTACTAGTTATGAWTATTAGAATAAATATTATTGGATAAAAGCTGCGATTTCGACATTAAAAAAACCACTTTACGATCCGCGATCCAGTTAACCGAAGTCCAGTCCAGTCCATTCATGCTCAGTTCCTAATTTTTCAAAATAAAAAATCTTCCAAAATCAGTGAATTAATTACATATTTGTGATGAGTAAAGGTGAGCTTGAGGTCCTATATTAGGGAGATAACCGACCATACACAGGAGTTTTGTCAATTAACAGCTGCAATGTAGACTACTGAATTACTTGCGGATTTGCCACTGAAGGTGTTGCATGCATATGCCGATGGTATGATGGGAAAATGTAATGCTCATTATTTGTCAGAGGTTTGACATGCTGACAAAGTCAAGTGTGTCTGTTTACCATTTTCTTTACCGTTCGCCTCACTTTTGCGTTTGCCTATAGAAACAACTGCAATAATAATTGGATCATAAACATCTAGAGGGTAACACCTAGTGTTCCCCTCCTTAATTGTAAATAATTACACCTTTGTATTTTGTGGGGGGAAAAACAAAAAAAAAACAAAAAAAACAAAAAAACATGTATGTAACACCCATTGTTCCCCTCCTTGATCGTAAATAATTA